AATATAAATTCAAATAAAAATATTTTAAAGCATCATAATAAGACGAGTCTTTCTTCTAATCCGTTTAATACTACTCAAATCACACTTAATAATATAATAATGAATCTCTAATAGCCTTTTAGGGGCGAAAAGATGAGTAGTTTTCCCCGGTTTGGTGTACTGGATTAGGTGTTGACAAGGCCAACACACAAATTCGAAGTCATCAAAGAGAGATCATTTTGTTTGATATGATAATATATTATGACAAATTATTTTTAATAGAATAAAATAATATGCAGCGACATTTTCTTAACAAAAAGACAAAAAGAGATGTAAAATATTTCCCCACATTATTAGTTTACTATGTAAAACGTGTGTCACTATCACTATTTTATTATCTAAGAGAAACGATTTTATATGATATATGATATATGATATATGATAATCATGACATTATTTTTAATAGAATGAAGCAGTCAATGACAATTTTCTCAACAAAAAGACAAAGAAAACGCGTAAAATACTGCCCCACAATATTTTATTATTACGTATAATCAGGCGTGTGCGACAGCCATTAAGACTGTCGTCTTAGATTTCAAAAAATATTTACTTATACTTCATATAATCGATCATTATTTTTTCAATTAAATACTAATGTTAATTATACATTTTTATTAACAATTTATTACTTGTTTATGTCCAATGTCCTATATAACTAGTCATTGATTTTTTTTAATTAAGCATTAGGCCTCTTAAATAATTTAATATTTAATTTTGCAGCTTTTTTTTTGCCAATAATTTTGCTGCCTAAAAAGCTATAAAAGTGATATAAATATACATAAATAATAATACATTAAGTCCCTTAAATAATATTACCTTAAACCCCAAAACTCCTGTATAATGTGTCCATGAACAAATCATCATGCATGCATTGATAAATTATAGATAGATTCCTAGACTAGTTCTTGCAAGTCTTCTTTAAAATATTAATTATTGTTACGAATAGGTCATTCAACATAAAAAAATATAAAACTCCAATTATTAAGAAACTGTTGTTAAACATGAATTAAAATATAGTAAGTTTGGTGTATAAATTTTAGTTGCTTCAGTCATCGTCTCATTCACGGGGCTTCAGATCAGTGGAGAAGAAGGGCAAGGCCATCACAATCTTAATTGGTTGTGGCCACTACATAGTCTGGTTTGGTTCTCTGTTCTACAAATCTCTTTCTTTGTCAATCCATGATGATGATTCCAAAGCTGAATAATATTTTGGATCTTGTTGCCAGAAATTTCCAAATCTATATATTCGCCTTCTTCATCAAAAAAAACTTCATCATCTAAGTTAGAGTTGAAGCCACTTCACACATATACCAGTAAGTGTTGAAAACAATATATTCATCCGGGTTGTGTATTTCTCTTTTCTATGTTGCTTCTTTCTAGGTGATTATATTTAATATAATAGTATTTCTGTCGATTAGTTTTTTTCTTTTTTTCTATCACTACAGTTCCTGTTTGTGGATCCAGCTCCCAAGGGATGAGCACCATGACGCTTATCACCCGCATGAGATCAGGATTGTTCACATTTAATTTGGAGAGTCAAGATTTAAAACTTTCACTTTTTTGTTTTTATTTTATATTTATCAAAATAAAAATTTATAAAAAATATATAAAATGTTTTAATAAATTAAATTTGTTAATCACTAATTTGGACAGTATGAATTTAATATAAGAGTCCAATTTAATATTAAAATTTGTATAAATTAATTATTCAAATATACTCTGGACAATCTATATTTAATATTTTTTATATTTTTATAATTTTTTATTTTCATAAATGCAATATTAAAAATAAAAATGACCTCATAACTAGCAGTCTGGAACTTTCAAAATTTTCTTAAGAAAATTAAAAATTAAAAATTTTTAAATCTATCCATTCAGAGTAAATTTGAATAGTTAATTTATAAAAACTATAAAAATTTTAATATTAAATTTAGACTATCTAGATTAAATCTAAACTATCTAGATTGATAACAATTGGTGATCAAACAGGTTTATTAGAAATTTTATATTTTTATATTAATACATTTAAAATAAAAATAAAAAATTAAAGTAAATGTAAAGCTTTAAATCTAAGCCATCCAGATTATTAAGTTTAGACAGTTTAAATCTCATCAAGTGTGATGACACTGATAAGCACCATGATACTCATCTTGAGCACTGTAGCTAGTGTTAGTTGGCTACGATCTTTGTTACCCAGAAAGTTATTAAAAAGGATAGTTCCCTTGTTCCTTTTCTTGGAGGGATTGTATTGTTGATCTTACTTAGCTTTTGTCTGTAGAAAAAAGGCTGATCGACCAAACGATATAATTGTTACTTGTGTTCAAAATTTATGGATAGTTTCTTGTGTATCTTGATTATTGAAGGTAGGGGATGATGAAAAGGTAAAAAGACATCGGAAGTTGTTGTAAGTATTTTGGTATCAATAATGAGGATATGGAATTTTCATTAAAACTTGCAAATTTCTAATCCAAATTCAAATAAAAATATTTTGAAAGATTGTACTCCCCCTATCCCAAATTATAAGACTACATTTTTAGATAAAATCTCACATATCAATAAAACTCATTAAATACACTTAATAACCTTATCCTTTCAAAACAAGAATATAAACTTTCAAAAATACCCATCATTTAATATATTGAAAAGAGAAAAATGAAAATTAATTATAGAAAGAGAAAGGGTAATATTAAAATTGGTGTATTTAATGAAATTTTAATCTACTTAAAGTGTTTTATATTTTGGGATGGAGAAACTCCTTCAAAAGTGTTCTATATTTTAAGACGGAAGGAGTATTAATATAATTTTTTAAATAATACTCCGATGTAACTCAATAATATCAAATATATAATAGTTCATTTTTTAATAAGTGTAAGAAATATGTTCCATTAATAGCAAAGAATATCTTCCCTAAGATATCGAAAGTAATGAATAGACTTCTTTTAATTAAATTGTTATATATATAAGAAGGGGAGTTAAAACCCCAATATATAATAGTTTAAAAAACAAAAGAAACATATGAGTTTCTTTAGGCCGGTGAAATTACCCAGTCATGCATTCAAAATAATTTAAGAGAGATTATTTTATTTTATATGATAAATTAGGTAAAATTTCATATATTTAGCTTATATTTGTTTTTCACAAAATCAAAACATATATTTTTATATATTGTTTATTTTATGATAAACTCTTGTTCTTAATATTACTAGGGTTTTAAAATCTGCTTGTTGTGATCTGTTTTAATAAAAATATATTAAACATATAAGGCTTAGTGCTTATTGCTTAAGCCTTATCCTTATTTTTAACAAAGAAGTCAATGGCATTTTTCTTAACAAGATAAATGGAGAAATAACATATTGCACACCATTATTTTAATTTATTCTATAGAAGTTGACATGTTACCTAATGTGTGTGGGCACGCATGTTACGTATTCTTTTCTTATAGAGAAGGGTGAGGTTAAGGATAATTTTTTTTAAAAAAAAATTATTCTATAGTATGCGCGTTCCCATGTGAACAACTCATCATCATCATTTATAAATATATAATACAGTAAGTTAGTCTTCTTTATTAATTATTGTTAAGAATATGTAATTGAATAAAAAGAATAAAAGAAACTAAATTATTCATAAAACTGTTATTATGAATTGAAGCAGTTAAATTCGGTGTGTAAATTTATTTGCTTAGACCACCGGTCATCATTATCCTGTTCTATAAATCTCTTTATTTGTCTATCCATAATGATTAATATGCTGAATAATAATGTGGATATCATAATTTGCCAGAAATTTCTTAATCCATATATTTGTCTGCTTCATCAAAAAAGTTTATCATCATGTAGCTCGCACAGTTGCAGCCACGTCACACCCATATACAGGTAAGCCTCACTTATCTAAATTTTAACTTACAACCCCAATTATACATTTTCTCTTTAATTGAAAAAACAATAAAAATAAAATTCGTTAGGTACATGAATAATATGACTTAGTCTTTAAAATTTGTTAATTCATGGGTGTCATGTCTAGTTTTGTTCGAAATTAATTAATTTTTTTGATAATTCATAATATTATTCTTGATATCTCTCCTATAGAGCGTAGGATTTTTTTTTTTTTTGATAACATATTGAGTGTTGGCTTTTAATTTTTGAAGATATCTGTGATTTGCTCTTCGCAGCCAGCTGTTTACCCATTTGTATTAAACAAAATCATAATATTATTATTGTTGACTTCAAACCCATTCCCCACTTTTAATTTTCAAAAATCTGCTTAACTTTATTATAAACAAGGTTTAAGAATTAAAATTTATATTATTTTAAAAGTTAATACAAATCTTATTATTGCAAATCTAACTTGGTTCTCTAATCTATAAATGATTTCTGTATTTATCTATCCATAATGATTCCTACGTTATACAATAATTTGGATTTTATTTTGCCAGAAATTTAAATCTATAAAGGGAAAAAATTAAATCTATAAAAATTAATTTTATCAAAAGTAAAAGATTATAGAAATTTTAAGCAATGTAATAGCATACAAAATATAACTTAATTTAAGGAACTAAAAATATGAGTATGTACTGATTGTTATAACTTAGAATTATATTTTCCAGAATGAAAGAGATGGTCATTATAGTGTTGAGTGTAAATTAATAATTATTTATTTAGAAGGAAGATAAGCTTTTTTTTGTGTGAAGAAAATGATATATTATTATTATTATTATTTTGATGAAAGATATATTATTATTATTATAAAATATATTTTATCGACTAATGTAGGAAAAGTATTTTCAAGAGGGGGCATGCAAAAATTTTACGAGGGCATGTTTAAATTAAACAAACTTGTTACAAAAGTCTATTGTATAAACATTCAAAAAACATATGTAAAAGCTTTTTCTTTTTTCTTTTGGTTGGTTTGGCCACTATTTGTAACAGACCTAATTTTTTCCATAATAAATGGGCTTGGCCCAATAAAAAAAAACATGGTCTAGATTAACGTATTTAAAAGTTATCCAACTCAAACAAAAAGATTAAGTAGTTATAATCAACTAACATATAACAATTATTCAAAATAAAATTTACAAGGGTCCTTATGTCATGACAATTATAATTACAAAATAAATAGAAAACCACGTGCCAAGTCGAGAGAAAGGAGCCTAAGCTCACTTCTTCGGTGCCCTCCCTGTAGCTCCACTTGACTGCTCACCAAAAATGATAAGAAATAACATGTGAGATTTAAAAATCTCAGTAACAGTTGGTTATTCTAACATATACCAACATACTTCTTGAAATCATTTCACAACCATATCCATAGATATACATATACATTTCACAATTAACACATAAAACAAGAAATGCAATATTCATAATTTTATAACAATTTTTAAATCAATGTCAAATTAAAACAATAGTGATACATTTCCCAACCTCACCCTTATGGCTCCCAACTCCCTTATTACCGCTAGCTGAAGCCTAAATTGAGGTTATACCTGGCCAAAAGTACATTGCCGTCAGAATAAGACTCCCCTCCTTAAAAAGAAGGTGCCTATCGTCCCAAAATGTCAGAGACATTGAGAACTACATGAAAAAGGCCAACCACTACGCGCGTAGTGGAGGCAAACCATGCGGCATAATATTCAATCATCAATCCTAAACAAACAATTATATTACTAGCCATCCTTATTACCTCTTTTGCATCATAAAACAAATGTCACATTTCACAATAAGATCACACAAGTATTAATATATATATATATACACAATACTTAAAACCAGTATCTTGATATATAAAAGGATATTCCAATGTTACCTCTTTTCCAAGCTATAACTAACTCAGATGTGTAGGGAACTTTTTAATCACGATAATAGATAAATCTACGACATCGAATGATATAAATACCATTAGATATATATATATATATATATATATAATTTATCAATTAAATATAAAATTCAACTAAACTTCTCAAATTTACAATCATATCCTTTCAATCTAAATCCCTTCGGTAAAAATTCAAAATCAACTTAAATTAACTTATCTAAATCCCAAAAATATAATTTAATCCATATAGATATCCTATACATCAGAGATCACAAATTTTATAGTTAAAAACTTAATTTTAAACTCTCAAATCAATTAATAGAATAAATCTAAACCAATAGAATTTAAGTACTAATTTATCTCTACTAATTAATAGTTTTCGTTGTTAAAAGTCAATACTTACCCTAAGTTTAAACTTTAGAATTTGCTCCACTCATCAAAATTTTACTATCATTAGAAAACTCTAGACGAGTAAAAAAATATTTATAAAAGGAGTTTTGATAATAGAAATAATTTTGAGCATTAAATCTTACCTTAAAATGTCTTGCCTTCTCCTTTCCTTCTCCTTCTCTCTATCTCTCTCTCTCTTTCTCTCTTTCTCTTGTGTACAAATGCGTAAGAGAAAGCAAAATTGAAGTTATATACTCCCTTCTTTCCACCACCTCTCTTATATATTATTGTATCATATATTTTATTATTATTTTTTGTTTTGTTGTTTTCCTTATACCACCGTCCCTCCTTCTCATTTATTATTATTATTATTATTATTATTATAACTTAACACTTAAGTTAGAAAGCCTTAAACTCTTCTTCTTCTTTTTGTTGTTTAACTTCAATATACTTCCTCATTAAGTCTTCTCTTTATTATATATATATATATATAATATATATGCTTATCATTGTTTCCAATTTCTAAAAGCAAAACTTAACATAAAATTATATCCTAAGTTAAACAAAATCTCCTAATTAATTTATTTATCTTCAAAAATTCTTTCTATTTTTTTAAATTCTAATTAACTCTAAAAATTAAAGTAAATGTTATACTATTCACCATACTCATAGTCGTAGTAGATGAGTTATGCTGCATCTCATCTTCATATATGAATATGATAATGAAATCATGACAAAGTCTTTAAATTGTCTACTCATCCTGCATGACAAATCAAAGTTCAAATCTTCACCAATAGATGTACACACATTTAATATTTGATCATATTTTTTTATGATTCATTCATATTGAAAGATACTTATGTGTAATAAAAAACAAATCTTTAGTAATTGTTATAAATATGTTGAATAATTTATTTGTAAAATTAAAAAGAAGAACTGTAAATTTTCTCTAAAAATTAATATAATGTGAAATTAAGTTGTCAATTTCATGAGATTAGTTTAAAATCACAATCAATTGAAATGTAAGTGATGGAAGACTGGATTGTAAATTATTTCAAAATCAATTTTCATACGTTTATGATGTGAAATTGACTTATGACTTCCATATCATTATTTGTAAATATCATAGTCTTAGAAACCGGGTCAATCTAATCAGTTAAACTAAGGGAAAATAATACTAAAATTCTCCAGAATTATATAAATGACAATCAAGGTCCCTCAAAATGTTATAATTTTACTGAAATTCCTAAGGGCTTCTATGTCAATAAATTTTAGAGTAAAAATACTATTTTACCTTTATTAAAAATAACAATCCTTAATCACAACTTTTACTTAAAGAATAATAACTTTTATTTTGTGAATCACAAAAGTTGAACAAAAACTCACAATTTGTCAAGTGTAATTTCTATTATTAAAAAGGTAAGTTCTTAAAATATTCAAAGAATCGCAATAATTAAATAAAAAATCACTTGTCAAAATAGTCTTTTTAATTTAAAATTTATTGACATAGAAGTTTCTAAAAACTTCAGTGGAATTATAATATTTTGAGGGATCAGATTGTCATTTATATAATTTAGGGATCTTATTGTCATTTTCCCTTGACCAATTCATTGAAGCATTTTTTTTAATAATAGATATGACCATGGTTTTGACCAATAAATCATAAACTAGTTCCTAATTCAATGATTGGTCTAGTTTTTAGTATCTTGGTGAGTATGAACAATTGAATTGTAAAAAATGGAAGATGAAAAATCTTAAAAGAAATTGTTTTCTTTAAATTGTGCTGTAAATTCCACAAAATCAATTTAAATAATCATAACATCAGTTGTGAACTATCAAAGATTATTCATACAAAAACCAAATTACAGACTTTGTCAAAAAAAAAAGGAGAAAAGAAAAGAAAAAACCAACTTACAAATATATGATGTGAAAATAAAAATTTTAATATCACAAGAAGTAATAAATAATAATCGAATAAATTGTAAATTGTAAAATATAAGTTACAAATTATCCGAAAACCAATTTTGAATTTTGGATATATTATGTGAAATTGAATTGTGAATGTTAACAGCTTATTTATAAATAACAATCAGTTGTTTAGAATTTAAATATACCATTAATATTGTAAAGCTTATAACTCAATTCCACATCATATATGAAATTTAATTTTATTATAATTTATAACTTTCAAAATTGACATTTGAACTATTCCTGTATTCCATATTTACTACTGCTGCAGATTTTACAAGTCAATTTCACCTTATATCTGACAATAAATTTTGATATAATTTATTATCATAAACAGCCCACCTTAGGGCCAGTCGGGGCCAGCGGCACCATAAAAAAAGAAGAAGAAGAAGAAGTAAGCTATCATTATTTTGAACAATTTTTTAAATATGTGCCCTAGAAATTTTTGGTCCACCACCTATTGGCATTTTCTTGAATCACATGTTTTATAGACCTAATTTCTTTCTTGTTAATCACTAAAATAAAATTTATACAATAGATAATATATATATATATATATATATAACCATTTTAGAAAAAAATTCTTAAAATCATGTTTTAATGGATCATTATCACTTATATTTTTAAGGGAAAATTAAAAATAGGTCCCAAATAAGAGACTTATTTACCAATAAATTCCATGAATTTATTAAAATACTATTACATCTCATGAGGATTACATTGCAATTAATTTACGGCAAATGTCCTTGGACTCAAACCCTTTTGATTGATATTGACTGGCAACCCACAGTCCAAGATATCTATCTAGCTGGCATTGATTAGTCAATGACTGATATTGACTAGTCAAAAATAACTTTTTAAAAAATATTTTTATTAAAATATTAATGTTGTAATACTTTCAAATCAAACATTACAAATTTATAAATAAATTTTTAAAATTTACAAGTCTTATTTCCTTCATTTATAAGTTAACCTCTTATAACATTAATACTTCAATACTTTTTAAATATAAAAGGTGGACTTGTAAATCAATTTTAAAAAATCATTGAAAAAATTATATAAATTCAAGAGTAAATCATATGTTTATTTTTAATATTAAAGTACTATTTTTTTTTATAAATTTACTTATAAATTTAAGATGTTTGAGTTGTAAATCTTGAAGATATGTAAATCTATGATTTTTAATTTGTAAAAATTAAAATATAAATATTTCAACAAAAATATTTAGTCTAAAAAATTGAGCAGTCAACATTGGCCTATGACCAGTCAATAGTCGCCAACCACCAGTTAACATTTGTTGGTTATTAGTCAATGCCTATTGCCTACTGATGATCAGTCAACATTAATCAAAAGAAGTGAATTTAAGGACATTTGTGTATTTTCAATAATTCATAAGACTTAATTATAAGTAAATGTTTTATATGAGACCAATGTATAATTTTTTTTACATTGTCTTAATTTATAGGTATATTTTTATGTTTACAACTACTCGCTTAAAAATATAAAATATTTTAATTAAATCTTACATTTTAATAAAGTAATTACTTGTCTTCAAATTAACATTATCTTTCTATATTTACTTCTATTTAATACTAGAGTGTTTTTTACTTTAAAATAAATATAAAATAATTTATTTATCAGAGACACTTTTTAAAAAAATATAATAATTATTCTTTAAAATATTATGAATGCTTTATATTTTTAAACAGAGGGAATAATATTTATGAATTTATAGTTGAAAGATCATAATTTATAATGAAAATTTTGTAATTCACGACTAAATAGATGTGGCGTTTTAAGGGATTTGACTGTATTTTTGCAAATTCAAGAGAGTTATTTGTAAATAAATTCACATACATATAATTTATACAAAATTTTCCATGTTTAATTTGTCTGAAGATAATGTTTCTTGGCTCTATCGTACACACACATATCCTTTATTAAAAAATTCCCTCGCATTATTAAATGCTTTTATTTTGGTTCAGTGTTTGAAGGCAGTGGAATTGAATGGGACTAATAAGTGAGGTAAAAGATTTTTTTTCTTCTTTGCCTGGGCCCATAAAGGACTTTCTGAGACAAACAACTTGGGAACTGTCAATTTGCTATTTCTTATATGAGTCCAATGTTGCAAAGCTGGATGAATATCTTGAAAATCTCCAAGAGAGAAGAGAGAGCATACAAAATCACATTGACAATGAATCACAAAGCGGCCAAAAAATTGCACCGCAAGTTTCGGAGTGGTTGAAACAGGTGGAAGACATAGTTGCTGAAAATGACAAATTTTGGAGTGATAAAGACCATCCATTCGCAGTGTTTTGGAATTGTGCTTGCCTAAACCTGGGGTGAGGTTTCGTTTGGGCAAAATGGCTTATGGATTGGTCAAGGAAGTTGATAATCTTCGCAAAACAACCTTCGACACAATTTCTGATGGTATGCGGCCAATGTCGATGGATTTTATTTTACCTGGCAGTGGTTTTGTGAGTTTCAAATCAAGACATGAAGTTACGAAGAAAGTTATGGATATGTTGAATGATTCTAAGGTAAGAATAATTGGGGTCTATGGACTAGGAGGGGTGGGAAAAACCACTTTTGTTAAAAAGGTGGCTAGAAAAGCTATAAATGATAAGTTGTTTGACATGGTGGTCTTCGCACATGTGACAAGTACTCCAGACATAAAGAAAATCCAAAGTGAACTAGCTGATCAATTGGGCGTAAGATTTGATAAGGATAGTGAGATTGGAAGAGCAAGCCGCTTGCAAGATATATTTAACAATGAAAAGAAGAATACTCTTGTGATCCTAGATGATTTATGGGTTAGATTGGACTTGAACAAGCTGGGGATTCCAGTGGATGGTGCCAACCCTAGCTCAAAATCTGTTGAGGGAATTTACAATTTCAAAATGTCCAAAGATGAAGTTACAAATGATTCCAAGAGATTCAAAATTTTGCTCACTTCAAGAGACAGGGAGGTCTTGTCTGGTAAAATGGAGTTGAAAGACAACTCAATTTTCTCTCTAAAAGGCTTGCAGGACGAGGAAGCAGAGATTTTGTTTAAGAAGGTCACTAGAGTGAATGAAAAATCTCATGACTTTCAACAATTAGCCATTACAATTTCAAAGAAGTGTGGTGGATTACCGATAACAATTATCACAGTTGGAAGAACACTAAGAACAAAAAACTACATTGAGTGGAAGGATGCACTTGGACAACTTGAAAGGAAAAACTTTATTGGGGTGGATGAATCTCTACATTTCTCAACAAAATTGAGCTTTTATTATTTGGAAAATGAGGATCTGAAGTCTACTTTCTTGCTTTGTGCTCAATTGGGTCATCATCCCCTTATTATGGAGTTGGTGAAGTATTGCATTGGTTTGGGCATATTTAAAGGGTTTCTTTCAATTAGGAAAACTCGTGAAAAAATACTCACATTGATTAAAAGGCTCAAAGACTCAAGTTTGTTGGTGAATAGTTATTCTAATGATTATTTCAACATGCATGATGTAATTTGTGATGCTGCCTTGTCAATAGCATATGAGGATCAACATATTTTGACCATGCGAAATGAGAAACTAAGTGAGTGGCCTCATAGCAATGAATTTGAGATGTACAATGCTATATCTATACACAACTGTGATACCCATGATGAGCTTCCAAATTTTGTGAGTTGTCCTAAACTCAAAATGTTCCATATTGATAGTCTTGATCCTTCTTTTAGACTACCAGATAACTTTTTCAATACAATGGGCATACTCAAAGCATTGATATTGACTTGTGTTGATCTATCAAATTCACTCACTTTAATTAGTTGCCTAACAAACTTGAGAATGCTTTGTTTAGAGCAATGCATGTTAGGTGACATATCCTTCATAGGAGAGATGAAGAAATTGAGGATTCTCAGCCTCTCAAGATCTAATATTCAAAGTCTTCCAGCTACAATAGGACAATTATGTAAATTGCAATTGCTTGACATAAGTAATTGCATTGAACTTAGAGAGATTCCACCTAATGTGTTGTCAGGTTTGACTAATTTAGAAGAATTGTATATGACAAATAGTGTGAAGTGGAAGAGTGAAGGAAATCGAAGTGGAAATGCTATTCTTGCTGAATTGAGGTATCTACATCAATTGAAGAGTCTAGATATATGCATACTAGATGCTGCCTCTTTGCCATGGAACTTGTTCCTTGACAACTTGGATAGCTACAAGATTGTCATTGGAAATTTCAAAACTCTTTCTGTGGGAGATTTCAACATGTCAAATAAGGATGAAAACTCAAGGGCATTGGCATTGCAAATAAAAGAAAGGAACCACATTCACACTCATAAAGCCATTAAACTATTATTTAAAAAAGTAGAGAAATTGTTATTGGGAGAAGTAGGTGTTCAGAATATTTTCTAGGAGTTGAATTTGGAAGGATTTTTGTGTTTGAAACAATTGTCCATTATAAATAACTCAGACATTAAATGGATCATCGATTCGATGGAGTTGCTAGATCCTGAAGATCCTTTCCCCAATTTAGAATCACTTTGTCTTTATAAGTTGGGGAGCTTGGAGAAAATAACCAACAGTAAGCTTACAGCCACAAGCACATCCTTCTCAAATCTAAAAATTGTCAGGATCAAGAGCTGTGGTCAATTAAAAAGTATTTTCTCCCTTTCCATGGTTTTGCTTCTCAAAAATCTTGAAACAATTGAAGTTTCTGACTGCGAATCCGTTGAGAACATTGTGGCCAAGGATGTAGAAATTGGTTCTATTCAATGGTTTCCTGAATTACGCTCACTGATGCTACAAAATTTACCAAAAATTTCTGAATTCTATTCTAATGATAGGGGTGGAAGTAGTGCTGAGATATGTTTCTTTAATGAAGAGGTATTTATCATCAACTATTTGGTAGATGTAATTTTTATTTTGAAACTTCTATAATCTTTTGTATTGTTATTAGCATTTGCAAAATTGGTTAAATTCTCTCCTATTGGCGTATCTTTTTTTTATTGTTTTTATTTTATTTTTATTTTTTAATTAAATCACCAAGTTTCTCCTAAGATAGTAATTGCTGATGTTGTAGGTTGCAGTTCCCAAATTAGAGAGCTTGGAGTTGTCTTGGATCAACATGCACAAGATTTGGAGCGAAGAGTCAAAACCCTTTGAAAAGTTAATGAAATTGAAAGTTCAAAATTGTAAGGAGATAAAATATTTATTATCAATTTCAGTGGCAAAGGATCTAGGTAATCTCAAAAGCTTGTCAATAAGTGACTGTGAGAAGATGGAGAGAATATTTGAAAGTGAATTAGCAACCGTACGCGAGCACAGTAAATTGGATTTGGTACTTTGATACTTGTTTTACAAGTTTTCCTTTACAAAATTGATATGATTACTTTATTTCCTAATGCTTAATTTCTACTACATGTAGGTCCGTGTGTTTCCCAAGTTAGAGGAAATCCAACTCAGTGACATGGAAAATTTGACAAGTATATGGCCTAAAGAAGTCACCCAAGATTCCTTCTCCAGCCTGAATTCTGTGTCTATAGAACACTGCCATAAGATTGTCACAGTTCTTCCTAGTCACATGGTGGGAAAATTTGGTGGACTAAAGAGTTTGAAAATTGGTCAATGTGATTTGTTGGAAGAGATCTTTGACCTCAAAGATCCTCCACATATTAGTGGTGAAGCTAAAACTCACTTGCAAGTTCTTGAAATAGAAGAAACAGCTAAAGCATGTATGGAATAAAGACCCTGTAGGAATTCTTAACTTTAACAGGTTGGAAAAAATAAAGGTTCTATCGTGTGGTAACTTGGAATATCTGTTTCCACTTTCCGTAGCCACAAGGGCTCAAGAATTGGTTTCTCTTTCTCTTACCCTTTGTTTTAATATGGAGGAAGTTGCAAGGAAAGAGAGGCTAGCTGATGAAATTTCACAAGAAGAAATTGCATTTGAGTTTCCTAAATTAACTACTTTGAGGATGCAATTACTCCCAAAACTAAAGAGTTTTTACAAGGGGAGACATTGTGTAAAGTGGCCAAAATTGAAAAAGCTAGGAGTCCTCTTTTGTAGCATGCTTGAAGTATTCCATATAAGAACCACATCATCAGAAGAAGCAACAATCTTCTTGCCCAAAGAGGTACAAACAATACCAAACTTCTTTCATATTCCTTATATAAAGTTGTTTTCACTTGTGGCATGCCTTAATTCCGCTTATATTGGTTACTTGTAGATACTCTCCAACCTGGAAACTATGTTCATAACCCTGAAGGAAGCAGAGATGCTGAAGCTCTGCATTAAAAACTATCGTATGAGCTGTCTGAAAAAATTTACTTTGCTTAGGTGTCCCCCAGTTGAAACTCTTCATTGCTTTCTCTCTAGAATGCCTTACCTGGAAGAGCTTACATTATTGGCGGATGACAAATTGAGAGAAGTAATACCTAGTGGAAGTCACATGACACAAGAAAATATTGGTAATGTTGCCCCCCTTAAATCCTTAAAGTTATCCGGTTTGAGTGATCTCAAGGAAGTAGGATTTGAGAGAGATCCAGTTCTCCAATGGTTAGAGAACTTGTCAATAAAAGAATGTGGGAAACTGGTCAATTTAGCTCCTCCCTCGGTGACTCTCGCTCACTTGACATCCCTTAAAGTACGTAAATGTAGAGGATTAGAAAACTTGATGGGATTTTCAATTGCAAAAAGCTTGGCTCAACTCACGTCCTTTAAGGTAGTGGAATGTACGATGCTAGAGAAAATTGTAGCAGAACAAAATGGCGAAGACAAAATAACATCCCGCCAAGAGATTGTTTTTAGCAAATTGAAGACTTTGGAACTTGTGGATTTACCAGCACTCTGTTGTTTTTGCAACTTCGAAATGCATGCCTTTAAGTTCCCATCACTCGAAAAGTTGATAGTGAGAGATTGTTCAAATATGACAAAATTCTCTGTGCAAGTCACAACTCCAATAAATCTACAAGTACTTAAGAGCAAAGAAGAGGAAGAGAATTGGTATTGGAAAGGAGATTTGAATGCTACAATTCTACAAATGTTTCTCCATTCAGTAAGTTTTTTTTTTTGGTTTCATTTTGTCATATCTGTATACTTAACATCTAAAAGTTATTTTGGTCTTTATGTATGTATGTATGTATGTATGTATGTATGTATGTATGTATGTATGTAACAAGGTAGTTAAGAAACTGATTATTGAATCAACATTTTGTTAATTTCCTTGGCTTTCTATAATTAATTTTACAGTTACAATCTTTGGAGCTTTCCAATTACGCGGAACTAGAAGAAATATGGCTTGGGAAAATCTCCCCAGCAAACAACAGCTTTCAAAAATTGACAACCTTGGTGGTAAAGAATTGTGAGTTTCTATCAACCGTAATTCCATCGTATTTACTTCCTTACTTGGAGAACTTGGAGGAATTACATGTTGAAAGATGTGGGTCCGTGGAGGTAATATTTGATGGGAGTGACATGGTGATGAAAAAATCCCATTTGAAAAGATTGATTTTATGTCAACTGCCAAAAATGAAGCATGTGTGGAACAAGAATCTTGAAGGGATTTTGAGCTATGAAAATCTTGAAGTTGTGGCAGTCACAAAGTGTCAATGCTTGTATGTTTTGTTTCCAGCCGTACCTTTGGCCAAAAATCTTTCAAAACTTGAAACGCTCAAAATAATACATTGTGGGGCACTTGTGGATATTGTTGGAAATGCTGATGAAATATATGAAGCAAGAGCTATTGAACAATTTCTTATCAAAAAAGAGCTATTGAACAATTTGAGTTCCCATGTCTACGAACACTGAGCCTTGGCAACCTACCTGAGTTGAAGCACTTTTACCCAGGAAGAATGATACTACGGTGCCCAAAGTTAGAAGTTCTTGATACTTATCAATGTGGTAAGTTGCAGATATTCGCATCAGAAAAACAAAGCAACCACAGATCAACCATTGAGGATCAAATTGGCCCTTCAATCAATCCCCAAACCCTTTTCTCAGCACAAGAGGTTTGGTAGCATTAGTTTCATAACTTTCAGTTCTCCTGTTCTTTACACAATTTCTAAACTTGTCTCATTATGGTTTTCAGGTTATTAGCCGCTTGAAGCACATATCAGTGAATAAGGAAGAGGCAATGATGCTCTGCACTGAAGACATTCAAGCTCATCTTGTTTCCAAATTAGAAGTCCTTCAGCTATATTGCTTTGACAATGTCAATGGGGAGGATGGGTTACCATTCAAAATGCTTCACAAATTACCCATCACAAAGTCTCTCGTTGTGGCATACAGTGACTTATGTGAGATATTCCCAACGACACTTAAATCTGGAATTGGTAGTCCAAGATTCAGCGAATTGAGATTGGAGTTTCTACCTAAACTCAAGTGCATAGGGTTAGAACACCCCTACATGAATTCACTCGGACAAAAACTCCAATACTTACGAATAGAAAGATGTCCTAGCTTGACAAAACTAGTACAGTCTGCAGTATACCTTCCTAAGCTTCGAGAGTTAGAAATAACAAAATGTCATGGATTGGAATATTTATTCACAACCCAAACTGCCAATAGCCTGATGAAACTTAAGGAATTGAGAGTCTGTTCATGTGAATCAATTAAAATGATAGTAGCCCAAGAGGAAGGCCACGTAATTGACGATATTGACAATGAAATAGAATTTGGGAAGCTTCGACGAGTAGCTATACATTCTCTTCCAAGCCTACAATGCTTTTACAAAGGGACTTCCACCTTGGAATTTCCATATCTGGATTACCTGAACATAGAAGGATGCCCCAACATGAAGTATTTCTCTCAGGAGTGTATTTATGCGCCCTCCATGAGAAAGACAAACATTCCACCTCTAGTGAAAAATGATGATTGGACTTGGGAGATCAATTTTAGCACCTCATTGCGCCAGTTGTTTACCAAGAAGGTGTGTGTGTGTGTGTGTAACAATTTCATTATCTCTTTCTCTCCTTCATATTTCCAATGACAAATACAACAATATCTTGAAACTTGCAAACTGATTCAATATTATATGGTATTCTCTGGCCTGTGTGATCTAAAGTTCAGAGTTATTATCATATTGGTTCCAAGTTGTTCGTCAAATAACAAAACGAATAATTACAAGGGAAGTATCGTCATATCTTTCTAGATACATAATATATGGTAACTATAATATATCTTTTAAATTTTTGGCATTTGTAGGCTGAGACGGACCATCGTGATACAATTGAAGTAGCAGCAGCAGAATGATCATCGCAGCCTCTTCTGTTTTACTACATTATTGCTTTTATAAAAATCCAAAAAAATAAAAAAATGGAAAAAAATGAAAAACTCAAAAACTGTGTGGAGTTTTTGCAGCTTCAATGGTTGAATGTGTGGGATTGTGAATCAATTATAGAAACAGTGGTCCAAGGAAGACGAAGATGATCATTCTACAATCACTTCCAAGCCTAGCATTCTTATTTTCTGTGAACAATGATTATTACCACTTTCTCTGCAGCATATGTTTCATGAAAAGGTTAACGTTGATATACCAATCTCATTATCTCTCTCTTTCGCTTTTCCATTAATAACTATAGAAATAACTATAATCTTAAAATTTCACTTCCCATCATATAATTCTTTGTGGCCTATTTTAATTTAATGTCCAGTATATATTATTGGTCCCAACTTAATGGCCATATAACATAAAATTAATTACAAGTATAATTGAGGGAAGTATCACCTACAATGTGTTTATAGCTAAAAATTAAAATTAATGTCAATTTTCTTTTATTTTTTTAACTCCTATAAATTAAAATTAATGTCAATTTTCTTTTATTTTTTTAACTCTTGTAGGCTACAACGGGCTCTATTGATGAAATAGGAGGAGGTCAATGAGAATGATCACATCACATCCACTTTATTTTATTGCAGTGTTCTATAAAAAAAAAACTTAAAGGAAAGTTTTATCGCACTGCTATCAGACCGGCAATGTTATATAGTAGTGAATGCTGAGCTCTAATGGGACAGCAAAAGTATAAAGTTGGAGTAGTAGAGATGAGAATGTTACGATGGATGTGCGGACATACACGTAAAGATAAAATTCAAAATGAGCACATACGCGAAAAAGTGAGGGTAGCACCTATTGAGGAAAAAATGGTAGAAAATCGGTTGAGATGGTTTGGACATGTACAAAGAAGACCAAGGGAGGCACCAGTGAGAAGAGTGGAACATATAACTTTGAGTCTGATTAAGAGAGGTAGAGGAAGGCCTAAGAGAACACTCTTGAAAGTTGTTGAACGCGATCTCTTAATTAATAATATTCCTAAAAGCTTGATAAATGATAGAGCACAATGGCGTCTTGCAACTCATGTAGCCGACCCCACCTAGTGGGATAAAGGCTTGTTGTTGTTGTTCTATAAAAAAAAAACAAAAAACAAAACAAAAAACTGGAAGGAAAAAAAAAAGGTATGTAGTTTGCTTGTTCTATGTACGTAATGTCTTGTGTTCTTTCATTAAAAAAAAACAAAAAAACCCAAAAAAAAAGACTGTGTGCTATTATCCAAGGCCGCCTCGTACTGACTTATCTGATGATATCTCTCCATCTGCTGAAAATTAATATATTGGCCATGTGGAAAGCAAATTATGTAAAATACTAAGCACTGTCATGCATGGCACATTATGTGTGTTGGCTGTCCCAGTAGCCTCTGAATCTACCTTCAGCACAGGAGATCATGTGATTAATGAATTCAGAAGCTTATTATCTCCTGGAATGACTACTCAAGTCTTATTTGTTCCCAAAATTGGCAATCACTGTCAACTTGTTGATAAGCTTTTTGAATTTGACAATTTTGAAGAGACCGAAGTAGTTCGTCTTGCAGGTAGTGTTTCTAAAGTAATGAGTCTTTATCTTACTTGATAATTTCCTCAATGTGACCAATTCTTTATCTTTTCAGATGCTTCATGTCTGACTGATGGTGGGAAATGATGTTATGTGCATGGAAGTTGAGTAAAGTAGAGATGGAGATAATATTATGCTGCAGAGCTGTCATTATGTTCTATTTTGTTGTGATTCAATTCAGTTCAACAATGATATGTTGTGTTAACATTGAACTATTGTACAAGTAATTTGGTGTTTGCTGTGCCTGGGGATATATCTTGATGATTTGGTATTTTTGTTGGCTTCTTGCTTGTTAGAATTTGGAACTTGGAACTTGATATGTTGTTGGCTCGTTAAGTATGAAGTGTTTGGCATTTCATATAAGGATGTTAGTTAAATTGATCGATTATTACTTTGATTCGTGTCTTTGGAATTTGATAATTGCAGGAATACATATATATATATATATATATGGATTTATTTAAATATATTTATATATATTTATCTTATTTGCTGATTGAAGACGGTAATGATTTTATTATCTTGTAGCGGGTATTATTACATATTTATATATAGGGCCTTCAAGTTATTTTATAGGGAAAATGACAATAAATTTTTTTTAAAATATATAAATGATAATTTAGTCTCTCAATGTCACACCCCAAAATTTGGAGAGCGATCGGCACAGGATGTGAACCGTTTCACACATCCCTGTAAGCCTTAAATTGTAAATTCACTCTGTTTCTAAAATTAAATTAAATTTATATTAAAATTATAATACTTTTAACACTAATAATTATAGCAAAGTTTCAACATGTTCATAAAAATTTTGGCAAAACCTTTCTTGTAAATAGAATTTTTTAAAATTTTTACAATACATTGATGTAGTCAAAATATCAAATAAATCAGGAGCTTAACTCCTTTCAACCGACAGACAGCATATATGTAAAAATGAAAGTCCTAATTATAGTTTATGTGGAGCACCTAATCATACTTTTTAAAAATAAAATAAAAATAAGATATGTAAACATTTATAAGTACATCAAAAGAAAAATTTCAAACCCTCCACCTGTCTATAATTGCTCAAAGATCGGCAGGAAGATCAACGTTAGTTAAAGTATCTGAGACCAAAATAATTTTCTAGTGAATAACGTCCCAACAATGAACAATAGAACATAAATAAAATAAATAAAATAAAAAGTTTGAGATAGTTATGTAAGTTAAATAGACAAAATTTTCATAAAAAATTTAATAAACTTCATAATAAAATGGCTCTATAAATTTCAAATAAAATCTCAAATCATTAAACTATCATAACAAATGATAATATCACTTGATTTAAAGAAAGCACATAAATGAAATAAATATTTATAAACAAATTACTGAATAACATTAATGAAATATAAAATCATCAAATAATTGTATTCATGATTATAGGGACTTATCAGAACAATTCACAAATGTGGATACATAGTCCACAAGAGTAAATAATCAAACGCGGCTTATGCCACAAAAACAATCGTGAATACACAGTCCATGAGGGTAAGTAACCAAACATGATCGAAGCCACAAAACAAGCATGGACACATAGTTTACGAGAGTAATGCTAACCAAATGCAGCTTGAAGCCACGAAAACAATTGTGAGTATGATGCTCACGAATAATCATTCCTCCGTTCCACGTGCATTGGTCATCGCACGAGGCTATCACCTCCTATAAGAACCTTGCTAGTTAGGTATACCATGGCGCGCCAAGGGTTAACGGAACTACCGTTAGCAACTAGTGTTCTATATAAAGTTCCTTTCAAATTTAATTTCAAACATGTGAAAAATTGACCATTATTCAATCAAATTTTCCTTTTCAATGTCGAACTCGCATGAATCATTTTTCTGCAGTAATTCAATAATTTTCAAAATAAAATCCCACAATTAGAATTCAAATTTGTATTTACTGATTAACTAAAATGATCAATTCTGATAAAATAATTTTACAAAATAAAATAATTTAATACAAAATATCTCATAATCACATTGTTGTCATAAAAAAGAATTTGCAGAAAAATATAATATTTAAATAAAGGAGATTTTAATGAAATATCAGTTGGGACGCTATCCACCTACCTAAGCATTTAAAATCTTACGGTCCAATTCTCACAACTTCTTGCTTATTCCAATGGTGCTCCAAAATTAATCTAACACATATCCCAACAATTCTTTTGTCACTATGTATATTTGTAATTTCTTCAAGCTTTATTATAAAATTTAACAATCCTAATTTCACCAATTTCCTCTTTCAATAATTCCTACAAGCATTATGAGAACCTTTATAATTAACTAAATTATATGGCTAGCTTCGAGGCAAAATCAATAATTTCTACGTTTAGTTTCTTCACCACAGTTTCAGCTTTGCTTAACATGTAAAGATAGTGTTTAATATTAACTAAAACAACACCTAAGTCTTCCTACAGGTCTTATGATAGAACCATTGAGGAACAGAGCATCAACATCGGCCAGTGAAAGGGAAAAGGAAGGATTCACGTCTCTATTGGAATTGAAGGAATAGGAAGAAGAATCAATATTTTACCTCTATCAAAGTGTACCGATAGCTACTACGCACCGAGATCTTAGATCAAACAAGAAGAGTGTTAGTGCTTCCACTCAGCTGTACAAAGAGGAGGAGATGGAGCCCGAAATTATTGACAGATAGAAAAATAAAAATTTAAAACCAAAGCTTCCTCCCACACAAAGGTTCAGCAGACAAATAAAGGAAGGATGAAGTCTGAACTTGCACTCACCACCAGCGTCCCTGTAACCGAGAAGAACGATAGAACCGTATCTTCTTCTTCCACCGTGATAGATAAACGAAGATAAAGGAGAGGAGGAAGAAGGTGACAGCGATGACGGCAACGCAATGACAGACTCTCGGTGACATAAAATAGCACGATACAGTGGAAAATATTAGCAATCCAACTCACAGTGGCTGGCAGGGGAACGATGAGGCCGACAGTGACGATGATGACAGCAAATGAAGCAACAACGACATGAAAACTCTCAGCCGAAAACCAATTAAGGATGTAGGCAAGGGTTAGAGAGAGGAACCGACTATGGGAGGCTCTAAAGAAGTGTAGAATGGCGGTGAGAAAGAATAATCGAAATGCTCTGTTTTTTATTGGCGTAAATGAGCTGATTCAAAACAAAAGAAGAAGTGAGAAAATTACAAAAAGAGCACAAAAAAATTACAACAAAAGGCACAAAAAATTACAAGAAAGAACAAAAATTTTTTTATAATTTAAAACCAAACTTCAACTTAGACTCTGAATTCTTGCAAAAGTTTCTAGCATAATCTCCTGTAACTACCACCTTTAATTGCTACAAAACTTATTAAAATATTAGGAAATTTTTTTAAAATTAAGATTTAGGGTCATTACACTCAAAATGTCATAATTCCCCTGAAGTCTTTAGGAACTTTTATGTCATTAATGAATTTATATAAATTACTAAATTATTCTTGTTGAAAATAAATAATTCACAAGTTTTGTTTAAATATTCACAACTTTTCTTTTTATATTTGTAACAATGCAACAACAAATTAAGAAATTTAACATGCGAAGTTGTGATTTGCTGTTGCATTGTTACGAATATAAGAAGAAAAGTTGTGAATATTTAAACAAAATTTATGAATTATTTATTTTCAACAAGGATAATTTGGTAATTTATATAAATTCATTAATGACATAAAAGTCTCTAGAGACTTCAGGGGGATTATGACATTTTGAGGGACGAAATTGTCATTTTCATATTTGAAAGAGATTTTATTGTCATTTTTCCTATTTTATATGTCCTGCCCCACTGTTGTTATTTTCACGCAATTTTCAGATATTTTAATTCATATATTTATATTATTGTCTCAATTCTCAAAGGCTCAAATTATTAGCTTGTAAGTTCTACCAACTCGCGTTTAGAAGTATGTAATCATGCTGTATAGTTTTGCTATTATTAGGCCCATAAAATGTAAAAGAAAAAAAGAAAGACAGAGATGCAGTCTAGGCAATGCAGGCGTATGTCCATTACCAAGCTTCTTCAT